TATAAATACATTGGAGGACGACTGTATATTGAAAACCGGACACTCTCATGTCTGTGTGGTAAATATAAAGCAGCAGAAAGCAGCCTGCTAGATTAGTTTAGCTACTGCAGACATGAGAGTTGTATCTTTTCATCTAACTCGCAATAGGAGGGCAAATCATTTCACAAAAGGTCAAACTATTCCTTTAAAATCATTAGCACAAGAAAGTGACATCCAACATGAGAAAGTGGCAGCAATACAGAATATACGCCAGGGGATACATCTGATGAGCTGTCTGTCTGGCCTTTATATTCTAGCTGTACAGAGCTGTGTACCGAGAGGTCTGGTGTTACTGCCGCACACATTTTACAGTACTTACTTGATCATTCTCTAGAGATGGTCTCTGTAATGCTGCTGGATAGTGAATGACAGTCTTATTATGAAGCTGGTCAAAGCTTCATCACTACAGGAGCAGCTGGTTGCTGTGAGGTTGTGAACCATGAAATCCATTACTCAAAGACTCCAACTAATATGATGAGTAAAAGCAGGAAACCTCCGCACATTGCGAGGAAGAGAAGTTTCTGTCAAACACAGGACAAGCAAGGCGTCAGGAGAAATCGACTGTGCCTGAGGAAAGAGCTGTTTACACATCCTTGAATGTGTTTGAACAAATGAATGGATTAATAATGAATGGATGAATATCTGCTTCAAGAAATGGACGTGGGTGTGGATGTGTCGTTACCTCACGCACTGATCACAGTGGCTCTCATACAGGGGGTTTGGTTAGTCCGACAGACAGGCCGACAATTAGTGCAATGACAGCAAGCAGGATCAACAGAGCAAAGGCAAGGATAATGTATTTCTGCCGGGTGAAGAAGAAGTTGTTGTTTGAACTTCAACTAAGCATCAGATACCATTAAAAAGGCTATAAACACATTCATATGGTAGTTTTAAGTGATCACACTTTATAAATATTTTGTGTTATTCTCATGTACAAATGTTAGTATTCGTGAAACACATTATTAAGAAGGAACACATACCCTCCGGGATTTCTTCTGGTATCTCACTGCTTTTTTGGTCTCTTCCTTTGCGCTACAAATGTATTCGGCTGCATTGGAGACGTTCTTCTCAATGTTGTTGACCATATCGCCCTGTGAATGATTGAATCGAAATGCTTGTTATAAGTTTGTATTATTGGTTTCATACTGATTCACTTGTGAGATGTGAGATAGGATCACTAAGTAGATAGATAGATGTACTGTA